AAATGTGGCTAGCATCTTACTTTCAATTCGATTTGAACTGTCGCCTAATTGCGGACTTGATCTCTTTACTCTGCATGTTTATTTTTGCCTAACTTTTGATGCCCGACTTTCGTATTTTTCATTTGTACAGTTATTAATCCCTTATTGTGCGTACTTCGTTTTATGGTTGTAATTTATGCGAGTACATCGTCGCTTTGCAATTCCTTTATTGTTTTCGCACTTTCCCATATTCCATTTTGTTGCTTAATTATTTGTCATTTCATTATTTACTGTTAATTTCCCCTCCGAAGGATAGGTCTAGCCGTTTGACCGTCGTGTCAATAGTCCTTACCTTTGACTCTTTCATCTTTCAAACCTTAATTGCCTAGGCGTCCTGCTGTGGACAACTTTACCCTTTACCCTAGCATTAGGATAAGGAGTCGCCGCACTCTATATTAGGTTTCTCGCTGCAAAATACCTATCTTACCCTTTTAAATTCAATTCAATTACAACGTAGAAATAGGAGTCGCCGCACTCCACGTAAGCGCTTCCCTATGAACGTTTACATCCCCTTGAAACCTTGACCACAGTCAAGAAGTTTCTCTTCCTTTCTTTCAAGGGGAACTACGATTACTCTGATTCCATCCCCTACCCAGGATACGTAGGCACAAGATGCGAGTCTTGGAGAGTAAACTTAGGACTAACCCTTAGGTATTTTTCTTTAACCTTTAACCCTTAGCATATCCCTTAAGCAGATAATTTTAGCAAAATAGCAACATTAAAACAAGAGGTTCATGTAGAGTACTACAAAAGTTTAGGGTGCTAATACCTTCCCTAAGCTTAACCAACCCCTGAACCTTAGATCTCTCACCGCATTGTGTTTACGGTGAAAAATAGGTTTTCCTTTCTTTAACCTTTCCTTCGGATAAATCAAAGATTCACTGCAACAGACCCCTTAGGTCAAGACTTACTGCTCAAAAATTTCATGTATTGAGCATTCCTGCTCAAGCCCCTCAGGCCAAATACTTTTGCTCAAGGTTCCATGAAACGAGCCTCTGCTTGCACCTTCCCTGGCCAAGACTCACTGCTCCAAATTCCATGAACCAAGCTATCCTGATCAAGCCACACTAGCTCAAGACTTTCTTGCTTAATCAATCTACTTGATTAAGACTTTCACTGCTCAAGAACATAACAAGAGACTTATGTGGCTCAAGTATCTTGGCTCAAGACTTCCTTGATAGTATCCCAATGATACAATACTTTTTCTCAATCAATCCACTTAATTAAGACTTTCATAACTCAAGCACATAGCAAGCGACTTTCGTGGCTCAAGAATCTTGGCTCGAGACTTCCTTGCTTGTATCCTAATGATACAAGACTTTTATCTAAACTACTGAACAAGCTCAGTAGAATAGAGAGTAAGATGTACATGATACAAGTATCCGAGGTACAGGAAGTCACCATAACAAAGACCTAAAACTCTTAATATTTATAAGATATACAATGTGTAAGAAATCTTAAGGCTTTTACAATTACAACCTACATTAAAAATATATGCATATACAATGAGTTGATAATTGCTGATCATGCTACTCCTTCTTATGGTTAATCCTTGTTAAAGATTCAGTTTGAACCTTCAACTATATTTATAGCTTTTTCAGAAACTAGTCATTGAGGAGGTAACTTGATTAAGAGTCTTTGTTGTTACTCCATAGTACAAGAGCTGTTGAAGATAGATACACCAGAAGATCTTAATCTAATCTGTAACATATTTAACCTTTAAGTCTTCAAGAGATTATGTACTATTAGAGACGTTGAGAGTAGATATCCATTAAGCATCCCAACCTTCCTTAAGCCTTGCAACCTGTAAACTCTAGTTGACAAACTTATTTGACAATACAACTTGCTTTTTGCAGTACAAACAACTTTAGCTTTATCACCAACTTTGAATGGTACCATAAACCAATTTGCATTCACTAAGTGTAGATACAATAATGTTGTTTCTTCTGATGTTGAGACCTTCAACTTCAAAGTCTTTGTCATACATCACTTAGCAAGTGTTCTTCAAATTCTGCCACCAGAAGCTAGCAATGCAACAACTCTCAAAGTGTGATTAATGTAGAATAGATTATGATAATAATATTTACAAATATAACAACCTGCACACATGTAACACACATCAAATAAACCATTGTTCTTCAAATACTTTGTTATCATCAAAACCCAAGAAAAATGTCATGAACAAACATTGTTCTAACAAGTAGGAGTGATGATGGATGCAACCACAAGGATTTCTAGTTAGGGGGATGATTTGTGAGCCATTTTTGTCAGAGAGAAAGCTGAGTTTTGTGTGTGCAAGAAAGAGATTTGAAAGCTTTGTGAAAGATGGAGGAAAGTTTGATAGAAAAATGTTAAAAAGTGAGAAAGAAACAATTTATAAATTTGGATAAGAGAAACGATCCAGTTTTAGTTTTTCTTGAAAAAGAAATTAAAAAATGAACTTTTTTGACATGTGTCGTACTAAAGCTTAATGGAGTGGGAAGTTGGATCTCCAAACATGGCCCACGATTTTCTAGGAACTCGGAGCCATGATGGCTAGTCTGGGCCTACAGGTCTCAAAAATACGTTATAGGGAGTAGCCATGATGACGATGATGTCACAACACGACTTTGAACAGTGTCGAAATTTCAAAAACCCAACCTGTCTCTTTCAACAACAGAATAGAAAGTGCCATTTTTAAGGGCAATTTGTTATCTAAGAAATTCCAAGAGGAAATTCGACAAGTAAGCCAGCTGGAATTTCTCCAAACATTGGATAAAGTCAAGTTGTTTTTCGACTGAAAAACTTGCCACAAGAACCATAGGAGTCGGAGTCGAAGAGTCTGGATGAGGACTTAGGAAAATTCTAAGCTGTGAAGTTCGACAGGTCATTGGGATCGACTAGGAACAATTCAAAATTCAAACTGAAGAAACCACTTTTTGGCCTTATCCAAATTAGCAAGGACACGTTGAAGTCGAGTCAATTGTCAGTTTACCTACAGGAATGACGTGTCAGACGAATGGTCTCTTGAACGTTGGAAGATAATTAGTTATAGCATTATAAATAAGGATTATAGTGTTAGGATCAGGATGACAAAAACATTGTAAACTTTGATCATACTTAAAGTACCCGCACATAAGACAGAAACAAAAACAAGTTTCCTGCAGAAGAAAATGTACTTGCCTACCATTTTTATATTTATGCAAATACACATTTTGTTTATTTAAATTTCTTTTATGCTTATTTCTTTTAGTGTTTAAAGGTTAATTTCGACACAGTCGAAATCAGTTTGCTAGTTACATTTACAACCTAGTTATTTCATTAAAAATACTAAATATTCATTGCAAGGAATCCAACAGGATCGAACACACGATTTCTTTTTTTAGAAACTCAACACAAACTTGTCATAGAATTTACTAGTTTGGTTCTTTAAGTAATTAACTCAAAACTATGTGACTGTTTACCAAAAACACTGGTGAACAGAAGGTGATACAAAGAGACCAAAATATAATTTATATATGTTTGACATAAAAAGATCCTAAAAAAATATAGAAAAAAATATTAAAATTAAGAGAAACATTAAATACAATTTCAGAAATAGATATTTAATTAATAAAAGAGAAATGCTTACGAGTGCTTCAGAGGTAGCGATGGTAAAATGGGGCCGACTCGTTGGGCATGTCCGTTTTACCCGCATTTTAGTGTAGGGCGAGTCAAGAGTTTAAACCCACATCCTCTAATGTGTCCGTCCGTCTTCTTCGCGGACTTTTGAGGGCAGAAACATTTATATAAACTCTTGCATTTTAGGATTAAAAGGTATAGTGCCTACAAACTTTCTCCGCTCCATTATCACGTCTTAATTTGCGAAATCGGTCTAGATTTTAAGCCCGCATCCTCCACTATGTCTGTCCTGCCTCGTCCCGGTTTTTTGTAGGACGGACGTCCCGGTTTTTTTAAGGACGGAAATACCTGTTTGTCACCTCTTTTAAGAAGTATTTTTTTAAGAGATTACAAAGGTAAGTTAAATATTCTTTAAAAAGACTAAAAAACAAGTTTATTTTTAAAAAAAAAATATATTCAATGCACTTAAAATAGAGATGATTAATTTAAAAAAAAAATATTGTGTATTTAAGACATTGAACATATAATATATTTTTTTACTTAAAATTCTTAACCGGTACTCTGAAGAGACTAGTTAGCTATCACCCTTAATAAAAAATTATAAAAAAACAAAAAAGTTAAAAGTTGAATTTGAATGAATAATTATAAATGGATAAGCCTAGTTAATTTGATGGGGCTAGAAAACACTAATAATGTTTAATATAACAAACATTACTAATTTATCTTGGACCAAATTTGGTCTCTTGGTGGTCCAAACAACAAACTTTAGTAGCCAGGTTCAACGCTAAGGTTTAATATAAAAGTCTAGCTAATATAGCAGGAGAGTTATTTTGGATACTATCTCTTCTCAGTAAACTCAAAGTACCTATTACCACTCCTATTATATTATGTGATAAGCTCATAGGAGAGTTATTTTGTATTTCTGTAACTGATTTGCATATTAGCAAAACAAAACTAAAATTAGAAAATATATTAGTTTGTTAAAAAGATATAGAAAGATCTAGAAGGTTATTATAACAATCATGTGCTGAGCTATAACTGAATTGTAACTGAATCAGTTCAGTTCAGGTATAGTCTACTTTTCTATTAGTAGAATTCCTGTTTGGTGTGGGAGGATATTCCTTCTGCAATAAGTTTCATATTTTTGTATAGTAATACATTTTCATAAATGTTCATCCATACATATTTAAGAATCAACTCTATTAAACAACTTTTACATTAATATAACAATTAACAAAAAATTTAATCAAACAAAACAGCTTCCAGCAGTTGAAGATTGAATGAATACTGACTATAACTAATTAGCAAAACTAAACCAATGCAACTGTACTCATGACTCATGAACATGCCAAGGATTGATCTCAAGTTTCATATATTCCCCCCAACTTACTACCATCATCTGATTTAGTAGCAACTATTGGAGAACTTCCAGCTGAATGTTTCTCGGAATCTTTCTTTTCACTGGAAACGACCTCTTTCTTATCAACCTCAGCCATTTCAACCTTCTCCTTAGTCATTGTGGTTACATCTTCAGCTGCTTTTGCAACAGCGTTAATTGCGTTTGACACCCATAAAGCTCCGGTTGATACATAAGGATTGCTCATGATAGCAGATCCAGCATCACTTGCCTTTTGCTCAGCAACAGCAAGAGCAGACTTTGTTTTTTCAGAAACCTGAAACTTTTCATCCATCTCTCTCACTTTTTCATTCACTAAAGCTGTTCCTACACTTAGTTTGCCGCTCAACCCGATTTTACGATCAAGGGAAGCAACTTTGGCAGAAGCGTTTGAACTCAAACGATGGCGTTCGTCAAAGGATTTCGCTCTGCCAATTGCATCTTTTCCTAAAACAAAACCTTTGGCAAGCATAGTGCTCACCACGTCTTCAGCCTTCTTAACAACAGTAGGAGTTTGCTTTCGGTCCTCAGAAGAGCACTAGAGATTAGAAGTATTGTTTATAAATATTTGAAAACCTGTTAAGTTAATGATTCATGCGCGAAAACATACACTAGTACAGATAAGTTACTTTGACGATGATACTATAGGTGCTTACCGGACTAAAGGGTTGAGCTTCAGGAGGCAGTTGATAATTTTCAACTGGTGTAATGTTGACAGAAGCATTAGCTATGTTGGAACCCTATACTAAAAACAGAAGCATGAGTATATGATTTTATCCAAAAGAAAACATAAACGTTTAAAATCATTTCTTTCTTTAATCTCTTCTATGTAACAATGGTTAAAGATTCTTAATACAAAACTATACCGTCAAGAGCACTGCCGTGTCTGCTCCCTGTGTATTCTTAAAGGTAACATACGCAGTCTTAGTGTTCTCAGTATCCCTGTAAATGCCATCAAAGCGATTGAGAAGAATAACATTCATAAAAATGTAAGGAAAAGTGACGAATACATTTCGAGGGCCCTGACCTTTGCATCTCAACATATTGAATGTCCCCGGAGAATGAGAAGAATTCTTTGATATCGTTCTCTGTAGCAGCAGCTGTTATATTGGTTACCTTAACTGTTTTTATCTGCAAGAAGAAAAAAATAATCAACTTAGGAATTTTGTGTCAACAGAGATAACTGAAATTAGATAAACTTGTAATAATTTGGCATTAAACAAATACCAACACATGATAATCTGGAACAGATAAGAATTCTTTTGAAGGATTAACCTAAAGTAGCCAAAATTGATGTCAAAATCAGCAAAACAGAAATCGTCAAATGATGAAACTGAAATGAATTTTGTTTGAGCCAGTTTAAGTCCCAAATACATTTACGGAATCATAATCTAGGATAGAGTAATATTAACTGTATACTTATTATTAGTTTTCTCAATATATTGTTGCATATGATGCAAGTTTTGTTACGAAAGAAATGCATCTACACTGAAAACATGATCATATATTTTACAATCACAACGATAACAAATACTATAATGTAACAATTTCTTCCTCACATCAGAATTTTGAATAGTCCAATTTGGTGTGATTGTAGATTGGGGAACAGCTCCAACCCCTTTATCAGTACGGTCCACTGGAGCCTGCACATAAAATGCTAAAATCAGGTATTTCTATTTCTAAGGCGACGTCCTATAAACCAGTGTAACGGTCACGAGACACAACACTCCGTAGAATGTAATTTCATGTATTGGTGTCAACACCGACACGTGTTGAACACCAGACACACATTTACGAATGTGAAACTGATAGCACCATTGATGTATTTGCATGCACAAATTTCAGCGATGAATCATTGTGTTTATTACTAGTAATATTTTATTATTTACTCATTATACATTAACATCAATGATGTATAAGAATTTCACAAACTCGTGACATGTAAATGTACAATTTTGAATCATGATAAGAAACAAGAAAATCATAACATAGAACAGTTAGATCCATATAGGAGTATACCAAAAGAAAAAAACATACCGACATTACGATGATAAGGTACGAGGTTTCCTGAAATAGCAACAAACAGGGAACGGAGAGAAAATGGGATGGTTGGTTTATGAAGGAATGAATGAGGATGAAGAAAAATGTAATGGTAAAGAATGGAAAAAGAGGAAAGGGTATTAAGGTAATTTGAAAAGGGAACGTGATTGTTGTCGTGAGTAGAATGACGCAGAGTTCGCGCGCCACGCTTCAGATTTGCGCTACTTCAAGCAACTCACAACGGTCGTCCCTTTACTTTCTTTCTTATTTTGGCCGAAATGCTTTTTTATTTCCACTTCATTTAACAGATTTTGTCCTGCCATCACAAAGTTGTAAATTTTAAAATAAGTTTAATTGGTAAAGCACTAATCATATAATAAGATAATTTTACACTATTATTTAATAAAAATTTATTAATTTGTCATTATACAATTAACTTAAAAATTATAATTTAATGTGGTAGAATATAAGAGGATAATTAATTTACGGTATAAAATTATTTTACATTTTTTTTTGCATATCAATTAAATTTTTTCAAAATATATGATGGTTGCACAAAATATCTGATACGAAAAATTAAAAATTTAATGAAAACTTTGAATTTTTATCAAATTTTTAAAAATTCGGTATGAGATTTTATCGATTTTTTTTCTAAATTCAGCATTTTATGGAAAAATTGTTAATTTTTTATCTAGTTTTTAAAAATCCGATGCATTATACCATACTTTTTTAGGAAAATCTATATTGTTTTCTGAATGTTTTGAAAAATTCGAGAAACACCCAAATTTTTTAATTTTCTTTTGAAAATTTCGGAATTATCAGATTTTTAGTCTAGTGCGAAAATTTGGTAGTTCGGTTCAGAATGCTTTATTTATTCGCTTCAAAGTCAAATGGTTCCTCTCCAGATTTTACGTAATTCTTCATCATTGATGTTGTATGTTTTACTTGCATGTTTTGTTTTTAACTTGTGCATTTTAATAGGCTTTGGGTATCTCTTTCATTGATAATTCATTCTTTATATGTTGTAAATGACAAATATTTTCCTTTCGAGCTAACGAGTTAGCATGAACGAACACAATTTATTGGTAAACAACATGATATTAGTGTTGTTATTGTTCGCTTTGATACTACAAATGAGATCCGAGAAAAAAATTAAATTGATTATGGATTATGAAAGAGGAGGAAGTTACAATAAGAGAATTCCTCTAAAGGGACTTTTAGTATGAAAGTTAAATGTCCATTTATGCTAAGATCTGTGTCAAGTGGTAATGGTTGGAAGGTGACAGTTAGGTATGAGTTTTACAATCATGAACTAGCTATTGATTTAAATTACCATGACATATTAGGTCTTTAAAACATGAGGAAAGAAAGTTTGTAAATGATATGACAAAATACAATATGGATCCTAGGTACATAATTGTTGCTTTGAAAGATAGAGATCCAGAAAATCTGACAAGCGTTACGCGGGTGTACAAGGCCAGATCTACATACAGGACAAGCAAGAGAGGTCCATTGTCTGAAATGCAATATCTACTGAGACTAATTCGTGATGAGAAATATATGTACTGGTTCAAAAACAGGGCCGAATCAAATGTTGTTGTCGATAACTTTTGGACGCATCCTAATTTAGTGAAGTTGTTGAACATGTTTCATTTGGTGTTGATTTTTTATTATACATACAAAACAAATAGGTATTGTCTTCCCTAAAATATAACTTTTCTGTTATTTAATTATGAGAAGTCGTTGATTAAATTTCATAATGTATTGATTATTGAATGTACTTACAAAACAAACATGTATTGGCTTCAACTACTTGAGATTGTTGGTGTTACATCAATGAAGTTGACGTTTACGATTGGCTTCTAAAAAGAGTATTCCCTGAATGCGATAAGGTGTTGCCCCCTGTGATGGTACTGGTGCGACTGGAAACGTTGGCACCATCAAAGTCGTTGTCCTAACAAGTGTTGAGATAACTAGATCTTCAACCATCAATCTGACTGGTTGTTCAACTACATTTTGGGAATTGTTTTGTGAATTGATGTTATCTATAGGAGGATGTGAAATCTTGGATAAATATTTTCCGCTTCTTAATTGTATACAAACTACTCCGAACAAATCATGTATACAGAACAAACTTATAAGAGAAAACTATGAAATATCTGTCAAAAATAAATGTTTTAGCACATGACTCACTCGGCGTGTCGATTTGTTTAAATTGAAAATTGATATATAAATGTTAATCTCTTATTAAAGGTTACTTGAAGGATCAACTACAGAATCCTAGGACATGGTACTAAATATTTTAACTTAGTCGAAATAACTATGCAAAAGGTAAGAATGTAACTTCGAAAGTAGAAAAAAGTAAGAATTTGGTAAAGACAAAGGTAAAGTGACAATGTAGTTAAAGTAAGATGAAAAAACAACTGGGCAGAAATTGTAAATTGAAATGAAAAGCTTTGCATTAAAGTAAAAGTGATGTTTCAAGGTTCATACATTCTCTCAGTAAACTCTTTTCTCTAGCGCTAATACTTTGAGTAAAAGTGGAATTTTGTAATAAAATGAACACACTGAATCTTACAAATGGAATCCCTATTTATACTAGTACAAAATAATTGATCCCTAACATTCACATCTTTAACTTTCTCAACGTAGAAGTCTGCATGCACTTCGCTTCTGCATTCCCTCCACGTGTCCTTCAAAATGGAACTAAGAAGTAATTACTTGTTTTTTGAACACAACATCTGCGTGCCCAAATAACTACCCGTTAGACGCGTCCGATGCTGTTGAAAATGTTGATGTCAAAATGTCTCCAAAAACATTCCTAAAAAATACTAAGTCTCATTTTCATCCCCTTGAGACTTCAACAACATACATGTCATCAAAGGTCCATATACCTTTAGCTTTGACTTATGTTGAGGTTTTCGCCCTTGTCGAAAATTCCAGCTACTAGTATCCTAGACCAATTTGAAAACTAGAAAGATGAGTTTTCGACCCCCAATCTAAATTCAAAGTCGTCTTTAAGAGTAGAGAGAGATTTCATAATTTCATTCTAAGTAATTGGTTCTGATTTTTTTTCATATTAAGGAACATTTCCTCATTAATGTACTTATGTTTCAAAACTTGGACCCGTAGAGAATCGCAATCTCTATGGAGATCTAAACTAGATTACCCAACATTTAAGTATTAGTCTCTCTTGCTTTCCGAATTCCAAGACCACCTACTTTTTTTAGCTTAGTGATTTATTCCAGCCAACGGTATGCACACCAGAGTTAGAATTACCTTTCCACAAAAAAAGTCATCATATCAATAAACTCACAAGTTGGTTGAGGTAGCTAGCCAATCCACTTGCATATACTAATTTAGAATGGAGTTTGGGACAAACCTTACTAGAGTAAAACAACCAACCTTATTTAATAATTTATGTTACAAAGATGCTAACCTCTAGCTGATTTTCTCTTCTAGGAACTCAAAGTCCTTGCGTTGAAGATAATCATGCAACATATGGAAACCAAAGTACTTCTCTAGAACAAGACTTCACTTAATACATGTATTGAAGACAGTTAAATTTATTTTACTCCTCTTAGACATAACACAGAAGAAAACCTTTGATTTATAAACATTCACTTTTGACCATATATTAACTCAATTTCCCTATATTTACTATCACATGACGTTTTTCCTATATTAACAAAACAAAATTAAATATTGTTTCCTTTATTGATTTTTTTCCTCCGAAACATCACATACAACAAAATTAAAAAATAAAATAAATTACATATATTAGTGTCACACCCTTATTTTTCACCAAACTTTTCATAACTCCGTCATTAGCATCATCCTTGGAAATTTGAAGCAAAAGGGTTGGCGAGGATAGAGTTTTGTTCCTCTTCAAGGCAATAGACTATGGTTGAGTTGTGAGTATTTGGTTGTTTAGCCTATTCTCATATTAGGCAAGACAAGGTCGAATCTAGAGCTCTGAGATGCGTGTTCCTTGGATATCCTAAGGGAGTAAAAGGTTATAGGTTGTGGTGCCCATAACTAGGTCATAGAAGATGTATCACAAGTCGTGATGTAGTTTTCAATGAAGTCGAGATGGCATTCAAAAAAATTGGTGATGCTGATCGAAGTGCAAAAATCTCTAAAGAGAAGCTGGAACAGGTAGAGATTCCTGTTGAGGTGGAGCATAGTGATGTTGAAGTGCATAACCTAGATTAATTTTAGGAAGAAGAGCAAGATGAAGAAGACACTGAGGAAACTGTCGATGACTGCCTACTAGAAAGAGATAGGTCGAGAAGAGTCATCAAGCCACCTTAGAGACTTGGTTATGTAGATCTTTTGCCTTAATCTATGCAAGTGAGGTACTTGAGGAAGAACCTAGAGATTATAGAGAAGCTATGAAACTGAATAGCGAAAAGCCATGGATGAGGAGATGAAATCTCTCCATGATAATAACATTTGGGAGCTGATTGAGGAACCTGCAGAAGCAAGGTTAGTCAATTTTAAGTGGATTTTCAAGGTCAAGGAAATGATCTAAAGAGTGATGTAGAAGCGCTTTAAGGCAGGGTTGGTTGCTAGGGGATTCACTCAGAAAGAAGGTGTCAACTTCAATGACGTGTTCTCGCCTGTTGTAAAGTATAAATCCATTCGAATATTGTTAGGCATGGTAGAAAAGTTCGATCTAAAATGTGAGCAAATGGATGTGAAGACAACATTTCTATTTGGTGACCTAGAAGAAACGATCCTGATGTGTCAACCTGAAGGATATGGAGAAAATGATAAGGAAGATTATGTGTGCAAACTGAATAGGTCTTTGCATGTCCTGAAACAATCTCCTCAACGGTGGAATAGGCGATTTGATAAGTTCATGGAACACATTGGTGTCACTAGGAGCCAGTTCGACCACTGTGTTTACTTCAGATTTCGACCTGGAAACTCATTTGTTATTTTGTTGCTTTCTGTGGATTATATCTTCATAGGTAGCAACAGTGTCGAGGATGTAATGGAGGTGAAGGTTGAACTCAACAAGGAGTTCAAAATGAAGGATCTGGGAGCTGCCACCAGGATTCTTGGGATTGACATCTAGAGAGATAGAAAGCAGCCGAAGTTGTGTTTATCTCAAGAAACATACCTATAAAAGCTTCTTGACAAGTTTAGTATGTCGAATTCAAAGCTTGTTGCGACTCCAACAAATCCTTAATTTAAGCTTAATACTACTCAAAGTCTGAGTACTTAAGCTGAAAGAATCTATATGAGTAGTATTTCGTATGCTAGTGTAGTAGGTTCTTGGATGTATGATATGGTCTGTACGAGGCCAGACATAGCGTATGGTGTGAGCCTTGTAAGAAGGTATATGGTCAATCCTGGGAAAGCGCACTGGTAAGCTATAAAGTGGATTTCATGTACATAAACGAGTCTATGAAAAAAGTCTTGATTTATGGTGGAGTCTGTGGTGATAGAAAAGTCAAAATCGTAGGGTTTAACGACTCTGATTATGCAGGTTGTATGGATTCCAAAAAGTCTATCTTTGGATATGTCTTCACTATATTTGGCACAACAATCAGTTGGAAAGCAACACTTTAGAAGGTTGTTGCCTTATGAATCACTGAACCAGAATATATTATCCTCACTAAAGTTGTGGAAAAAGCATTGTGACTTGAAGGTTTTGCAAAGGAGTTGAAACTTCAAGGTCGAAGTATCACTGTTGAATGTAATAGTCAAAGTGCAATACACCTGTCAAAGAACTCAACTTATCATGAGCGAACCAAGTACATTGATGTGAGACTGCACTTCGTCAAAGAGATAATTGAGCGTGGTGAAGTCCAGGTGATTAAGGTTTCAACTGATGACAATGTTGCTGATATGATCACCAAGACATTGTCAAGTTGCAAAATTTTCCACTGTATGCAGTTGATAAAGTTGCATGATGAAAGCTATTTATTTTCTGTTGTTGTAGAGTTAGATCCAAGGTGGAGATTTGTGAGACTTTGGGTCGAACTCTAGCTCTGTCAAGGAATAGCTTTCATGTGTTTTGACAGGAGACAAGCATTAAGTCGAAGCCAGGTCACATGTTGATGTCAAAGGGTTACATACTGTAGTCGAAGCTAGTTCTAGTATGTAATGTCAAAATATATTGTTGACTTATTATGTCGAATTGTGCCTTGTGTTAAGGATTTACTTGTTTAGTTAGTTTGTTTTGTAAGTTAGATAATTAGTCTATAAATAGGCTAGATCACTCAGGTTGTTGAGTGAGGTCAATTGTTATTCATTTGTAATAATTTGTAAACCCTAAATGAGAAAGTAAATAGTAAACGATTTTCCCTAATCCTTCATCTTCTTTCTTCTTTATCCTCTTTTTTTTCCTCTTTGTTCTAACTGTTTTTATTGTTCACCCAATAACTTTGTTTCTCAATCTTTATTTGTTGAAAGGTATCATTGTGATCACAACAATTACCTTGAAGAGCTTATAAAAACAAGTTGAAAAAACATTATAAACAATGTTATAAGTTGTTGTCACAATTTTTTTTCATAAGCTCTCTTCAACAAATAATATCACCAAACTTATACTAATAGGTAAACTTGAATGAGAGAATAAAAACAAACATTTAGTCTCATTGATCTTTTAATTTGTTTGTATATTTAACATTAGTTAAATTCCTTATTTACAAATGTTCATTATTTTTAGGGCAAACTCAGGCCTAAAAATAAGTCTATCATAGACTACATGTCAGACTTAGACTTTAAATTTTTTAGTAGAGATTAGACTTAGGCTTAAGCTTTAATTTTTTTAGTAGGTTAGATTCAAACTTGATAAAATCCAACTTAACTCAACTTATTTTCACTCCTAATTTGAATACATCAATTGTAAACAATAATAATTTATTAAAAATACTATTATTTTCTATTTCGTTTACCAACTATGACAATCATATGTGATTTCAAAATAAGAAATCATTCAAATCAATATCAAGTCCATATGTGATTTCAAAATAAGAAATCATTCAAATTCTAATCTCAAATCTCCATATTTTGCATTTACTATTAATGGTTATGGCATTAATAAACTCATATTTTGTTGCCATAATTAATGAGAATTAAACGTTGTAATGATGAAGTTGGTGATTAGATTTTTAAGGAATTGAAGTTGAAAATACTTAAAAAAATTAATATACAATATTATGTTTATTTTTAAAGTAATTACTTAATTTATATATTGAGACGTCGTATGTGATGTTACATAAGCCATTAACTATAGATTATATTCTCTCTGATTTCATTATTTGTTTCATATTGATTATTTTTTTAAATAAGTAATTTAGTTAATATGGACCCCTCACCCAATCCAAATTAAAATCATTGTTGTTATGTAATGATTCTCATTATCTAGAATCATTGATCAACTTTAGTTTTTTAATATTTGGATTTTATCTATAAAAAAACACTTTTTAAGTTAAATAAATAATTTGTTATCATATCTTTTTAAAATTTGTTATTATACCGAAACAGCAATTTATTATCGTTATATTTGGTTAGTTACATGTATAATAATTAGCCTAATCTTTAGTAAAAGGTAACATAATATTCTATTGATTTTTTAAATCTTTTTTAAATTGAATAAATTTCTAATGAAGTTATAAATACTTACAATACTTTGAAAAAACATAAGAAGAGTAATCTAACTAAATTTCTATTCACAATCATGGAACTCCATAGTTATCCAAGTTTTACAGATCTGTTACAACTCAAAGTCCATATTCACCACTTTGATAGCTTAAGTCACATACAATGCGAAATAATCAATCTTCCGGCCATAGTTTTCAAAAAATTATTTAGTCAAGAGGGTTGGGATTACCTTCGAACACAACTATCTGAAGTTTCTTTTTTAACCTCTAATATAATAGATCACTTCATAAGTCATATAATATACGAGGTTCAACAATCATACAACATTGGTACTACTGATGAAAAAGATAATTCAGAACCGAATGTGTTTAATTTGAACTTGGAGATGGAGATTCACGGAGAACCAGAGATAGAATATTATGATGAAGAAATTGGAATGGTTCCAGCTTCAAAAGAGGCTATCGAGAGAATGAAAACAACGTGGGATTTGAATGATACAAAATTGAGAGACATATGTTGTAGCATATGTATGGATGAGTTTGATGATGTTGATGAGACATCAAAGATATGTAGAATGCCATGTAGTCATGTGTTTCATGAACAATGCATCGTCAAGTGGTTACAAACGAGCAATACTTGTCCCTTGTGTCGATATTCAATGCCCACTGCACTTGATAGTTGAAACTAAGGAATTACAATTTTAAAGTTAATTTGGAGATAGACACTTTTTTTATGTCATGTTTTTTTTGTAACATATATGGTTAATCTTATTTATTAAAATCCTTAAGTAAAAAAACTTTTCTTTTTCGTTCTTTTTTAAATATTATTTTTTTGAAATTTTTTTTTTAAATTGTTAATTATAAAATTTAAAGTAGTATTAATTGTATTTTTGTTGAAATTGTTCTTAAATATTTATTACAAAGAGAAAAAAATTAAAGTAAATATAATAAATAATTATGAGTGTTATAGGGAGAAGGAGAAATATTATTTGAAAAACAACAATATTAATTATCTTCATTGATATGGACAAAAAAATGACACTTTATAAAAAAATAGGGCGAGTCCTGAAATTTTAATATTTTTAATTATTTATTTTACAAATAATATTCATGGGTGAGATTGAGGCAAACACATTATTTAACCCAACTAAAATTCATCAATTATAATTAAGTCAAAAACTCATTTATTTTTTGACAAATTTTTGTTGAAACATCCAACTATTAACCAATGAAATTCTAAAAAAGAAACTCATGCAAATTATTTATTTTAAAAAAATAAGTAAAAAAATTTAATATTAATTAAAAATAATATTAAAAAATTTAAATAACTTATTTATTTTAAGATACTTTTTTTTTATTCGAGATGAATTATGAGCTATTTTACTATTTTATAGAAAGTCTTTTTTCCCACCATATACATTTATTGCAGATTTGTATAATTGTAAACTTTATTTTTTTCCCTCACATTTCACGATACAATCCAAATCTAGAATATTACTCATAGTCATAAGTTGTTTATGTTTAATTTAATTTAATTTTAAAAAATATAAAAGTCTATAAGGTGACAACTTTAAATAGGGTTATTTAGAATCAATGGTCAAAACAAATTCCTCTCATCTCTGGCGATAACTATTCCCCATATCTCCTTTAGACTTTATAAAATAAATGGCTAATATATATATATATATATATATATATATATATATATATATATATATATATATATATATATATATATATATATATATATATATATATATATATATATATATTATTTATAATATTTTAAAAATTAGATCGAAAATCGAAGCGATAAAATTTACGGTTTAAAATTTAATTGATTCAATCTATTAAATTTATGATTCAACTGTTTATTAAATAAATTAGTAATATAAAACTAAATTTCATAAATATGTCACGCATAATTTATATGTTCATAATTTAATAAAATAAATATTTTAAAAATTCGTTATAAATTTAATACAACAATATCAATAGTACATATAATAGCATAACATAATTCTACGCTTCATTTTAATATTTATTTAAAAATAATTTAACCAAATTAATAATTTAACCAAAACTAAAATAATAAAATATAATAATTAAAATAAAATTCAAATAATTAAGAATATCTAAATTAAATTAAATAGAATACTAAAAGTAAATAATAAAATATATTTTATTAAAAATAAATAAATTTGAGTTGAACTGTCACAAATAAATCTTAATTGACAACAACAATTAATATTGAGTTAGACATCATGACTATGTTTGAAAGAGAGGGCGTGATGACGATGGAGTGTGGTTAAAAAAAAAACTAAAACAGATACAAAACTTAAAAGTTTGTATGGTTGTAAAAAAATGTGAAATTACTTTTTACAGTGATCGAAGAATGTATGTTAAGTTTTAATATTGACATATTAATTTTTTTTAAATGATCAATTTGATGCATTTTATTGAATCAGACGGTTTTATAAAAACAGTTTCGGTTCTTTGGTTCAAATGATTTTAGACGGTTCAATCTGATTTTTTCGATTTTACTCCGATTTTGATCTACTAACAATTTTGAAAGATTGATCCAACCAAATTATCTTCTATTCTTGGTCCAATCGGTTAAATCAAACAGTTCAGTCCGATTTTTAAAATATTTATTTATAAATATACTTTAAACAAACTAAATTAATATAATATTTTTACTAATGATTACTAATTCTTTAAAAAAGATTCTGAACTTTTGATTACTTATTAAAATAATACAACAAGTATTTTGGTACGATAAATTAATACAATAATATTATTAATTAATTATTTTTGAACCGCATAATAATTGAAAATTAATATTTTTTAATAATATTGCTAAAAATTGAGAGCAACTATAATCAAATTGTTATATTTTTTAAAATATTATCTTTTTAAAGGTTATAATTTCTTTTTAAAAAGTTATTAAAAATATCATTGGCACATACACTCTAATACAATAGAAATAATTGCAAAATAGTAATAAAAATAAAAATAAACATAGAAATAATTTATTAATGTGAGTTTATATAAAAAACAAAATTATATAAATGACGGGAATTATATTTACGACAAAAAATATATTATTTTATGAAATTATACAACAAGTTTTTGGATACACTAAATCAATATAATACTATTACTAATTATCTATTTTTGAATCACAAATAAAAATTAGTTTAGAGTAGTGTTTTTTTAATAGTATTTATAATAGAAAATTAGATATTCAGGATCACATATTTGTCTTTGTCATATATTTTGCCACATCTTTAAATTAAGAGTAATTTAGAACTAAAATTTAGTTTTTGCAACCAAACTAACACTTGAGACTGTATTTTGATTTGACTATGCAAATTTAAGCTTGTTTTTTTCTACATAAACCGGTTTTGGTCTTATGTAGTTGAAAACCAACAAAATTAATTAAACTTTTTATACTACTATTTAGTTCCAACACTTTTGTTGAAAATCAGTTTTGGTTTTGTCCTCATTTCCCTCCAACAATTTTCATCATTTCTCTCTTTATTTGCCTTTCTGCTTCTCCATCTGCATCTCTCTCTTCTTCCTCTCACTCTGTCAACCTTCTCTCTCATTTCTTTCTCTTTTTCTCTCTTCCTTTCAACTCTAACTGTGCCCCTCTCTCATTTCTTCTTCTCACTCTCTTAACCTTCTTCTTTCAACCTCGTTTTTGAAACAAATTTTCATAATGTCTATAGTTTGTTTTTTGTCAGATTTTGAGTTGGTTTTGAAAATATGAAGTTGTATTTTTTAAACAAAATATGAGATTGTAATTATTGAAAATTGGTTTGTTGATTCATAATTTTGTTTATTTAATTTTACAGAGGTTTTGTGTTGGGTTAGCAAGTAATTGTTCATCTATTTCATACAAGTGAAGGTATGTATATGTTGTTGATTAAAAAATGAACATTTTTTGCAAATGTATTATGTTTGCTAATTTTTGGACAGGAACTTGTGTGGTTTTAAACACAAGGCTTAAATGAACTTTTGGTCTCCTAGTTTGGGCAATTTAAACAATTGGTCCCCCTATTATAAAACCTGCGAATTTGGTCCCTTGATTATGATAGACTTTAGATTTGTATGGTCCTCTATCCTTTTTGCTTATGTGGCAGTTTTATTAATGAGGTGACATGCACCAATGATATTCATGTCATCAAATTCTAATATTTTAATTCCAGCTGGATAGTTTAATTTAAAAACTATTAAAACAAATTTTTTAAATTAAAGAAACAAATTATAAATTGATGAAAATAGAATATAGGCAAAAGTCAAACATTTTCCCCCAAATCACATAATCGTTCTTCAGAAGGTTATAAATCCTAATCCCCAATTGGCACCTGATCTTGACGGCTGATAAGAATCTAAGATGGACCAGAGACTTCGTATGTGATGCTGGGTTTCAAAGATGAGGAGGGGGTGTACCTGTAAGGCACTCTAATGCTAAAGTAATAATCGGAAGAAGAGAAGGCAAGTACAAAGAGAGTGTATCTTAGGGTGATTTAGAATGATTTAGAATATCTGACCCTCTCAAATGAGAGGGTTTTTATAGTGCCCCCAGCGCTTGGCCATTAGTCTCTATTTTTGGGGCGAGATATTCGCTCCCAAAGAATAGGTAACTGCCATAAACTAGCCGTTGGAACTTGCATAAGTACTTAGAACTAGTTGTTATCGCGGGTAGAGGCGTGGTCGCAGGCACGAGCGTCGTGACTGTTTCTGGATGGTGGAACCGTGCGTGACGGGCAGAAATGTGACGAGGGACAGCTGATCTTGAGGGTCAGCTGGCCAGCCTTCCTCAGTAGAGGGGCAGAGGAGAAAATGCTTCCCTTTGCCCTTAACTGACAAAGCTTATGCTATTAGACCGTTTTGGAAGCAGGAGTGAATTGGGTCATGCCTAGCCATTAGGTCAGTCTGGAACAGGAGCCCCCCAAGTTGTTGCACCTGAGCATATGAGTGATGACTTAAGGGCATCTCGCGGTCCCGAGGAGGCGTAGGCATGGTCAACACCTGTTACTGAGATGAGTTCGTTTTGTGGTGCTCGAAGGCACTTGTGACCGGGGAACCCGGAACGTTGCCATGCGTTCCTGACGATCGGGAGCTCAATGGTTGATGGGACTTGAAGGGATGGAGTGCCACGTGCGCATCAAGTTATGTATTGTATTCAATGTGTAATGATGGCTATGTTAGGATTATGATGATGCTCACATACCGCGCGTGCTCGTGCACGTGCCTATGGTCTGTCTATAAATAGAGAGAGGAAACATTCATTTTCACTTTGAGCTTCTCTCTCTTCTCTTGCTGCTTGTCCTTAATTCCGTCATCCTCCGCCGTAACGCTGTTTCAATCCTTTTTTCACTTAGATTGCATGTGGTTAGGAAGAAACCAGGTAGAGTTGGGGTGGTTTTCGATGAACGTTGGTGGCCTTCACTGGAGCGTTAGGAACTTAGGGTTTTTGTTGATTCTGACACCGTTGCGATAACGAGTAAGTTTGTCACTGGTGGAACTTATGTGTTTTCCCGTGTACTCATTAGTTTTCTGGTGGATCTTCACCGAAATTCTGGGTATCACATCGGGAGGATCTCCCCGCGTGGGTTGAAGGATTTCCAAGGGCGTGGCCTTGCACCGTTGCTGCGCTGTTTGAGTAAGGGCT